TGTGCCTCCCCTGCCTCCCTGACGAGCCGCCACTGCAACTGAATACAATTAATTTGAACTTAATTGTAATTGAGATAGTTGTGAATTAGATTAAGTAATACTGAGTGAATATGATAATTTTTGTATTATTTTTGTATTATATCCAGGTATTTTAATAAAAGGGCTCACTATAGCTTTATTGCTCAGTCAGCTTGATTCTGGCTCTCAACACTCCCAAAATCTTGTTCTCCATCATTGCACAGGCTTACTCATGGATGAGAATTTTGTCAAACCTAAATCGAGCTCTGTACAAAGGAAAATCAATTTAAAAAGTTGTCTTTTGAATCCCCTTCTGCAATAATGTGAAAAAGGGTGGAAGTCAACAGCACATAAATGCCAGAATGTAAAACGAGTTATTTTATGCATTTAAATATGATTTCATTTTCGTTTCAATTTCGTACTTTACAAATTAAGACAAATTAGCGCACATTTTTTAGTACAACTGTACTGTGCTCACATTTACTTGTGCATTAAATTACAAATAAAAAAAGTACTTATCTTGCGCCCTATTGTGATCTCGAATGGCAGATTATTTCATACATGCATGCACAGTTTTGCAGCTTTAATTCGCTATTTTGGTAATTTCATGACTTAACTGGAGATGCTCGTAGTGTCTTGTGCGGGTTATTTATGATGAAGTGAGATAGAGCGTGCGCCTCATATTCGCGTACAGAGCGTGCGCTGTGAGCACAGTAAACGTCTGACAGAACAGGGAAGTTTGTTTTACTGACATATAACAACATCTCATCAGACCGCAGTTCACTGTTGTTCTACTGAAGCTCATTTGGCACCTGTACCTTTTCCGCGCTTGTTTGACTCAAGCCTGGTGCTGAGGGCAAGCTGAAGTGCGCGTCTGAAAAGCCTCCTGTTTGTTGTGGTCATAAAGAGATACGGCCGTTCCGCGTCTTAATAAGTTTATAATAAATAAATTTTTTGAACTCGTTTAAAATGCTAAAAACCGCAAAAGAAAAATGTTTCATTACATTATTTTTTAACAACTAAGCTTTTGATTAGTTATAACGTTTTATTAAAGAAGATTTTCACAGAATAATTTCGGCAAAATGGCGCCCCCCTATGTGCGGCGCCCCTATACACCGCATATAGCCTACTCATACCCCGTTTTTGCGCCACTGGATATGGTGTACAGAGTGTGAATGAAAATTGAGTGTAATCTCGGTCGTCATAGAATCTCACAGTTATGAATGCCTCATTGTTGTTGTTCAAAGCATTGAATACGTCTTTTTGTCGTTAACAGGTGTTAACCATCGAAATATGTGACCGTGCGCGTTGTTGTCACACTAACCGTCTCTACAGCGACTACCGCTTATACAGACAGAAATCAATGCGAAAAAGAGATAGGATCAAATAAAGGTCTTACCATTGTGGAGAAAAAACAAGTTCACTGCAAGCAAATTAAAGAGAAACTGCATTTTCAGTATATTTGCCCCTCACAAATGAAGATTCTGATTCATAAATGCATTCTGTTCGTCTGCTTAGATGGCGATGCAGTTATTTCAATAGAAAAAAAGTGAAACTAACAACCTGCAAGTCTCCTTGCGGAGAGCGATGACGTAGTGAACGTTCTTTTCTAATATGCATATGCAAAACGTTTTTGGCCGTGTTCCTTTTGTAAAATATCGTATGCATACAGTACAGACTATTATTGCATTAGTATATTACATTGCTTATTTCTAGCCCCCAGTCTGGAGTTTATTAAAGAATCTGAAGACTACTGTTGAGTAAGGGGGTTTTAAATAATAGTTTATCATTTTAGTTATACTGTATGTTAATAATAAAACAAGTTAAACATAAGAAAAATAGAGTCAACATATCATGTAGCACGAGTAATGCAAGAGCAGTTTTGAGGAAATAAAACACATAATTAGGTAATATTACATTAAATTAGTCTGGCTTAATGACCTTTAGACAGTTGCTCAGGAAGGCATAGCTCAGGTGAAGAAGAAAGGGAAAAACCATGAGAAGAGCATTTTAAGTCTAGTGCACCTGGTAGATGTTCTAACTACAGTCTGAGTGCAATAAGCATATTTCTTTATTAAGGTCATGGCTATAAAAATATCACTGGAAAACAACCAGGAACTTATTTTGCCTCTAAAACAGTCCAAACGAGGTGAATAGACCAAAAACAATTTCAAAAGGTAAAACACTTGAAGAAAATTAGTGAAATTTCTTCAAGTGTTTAACCTATAGAAATATCACTCCACACTCACTCAAACAAAGCAAACAAATAAAATTGCATAATAGAAAAATAAATACAAACATAAAAAAATATATACACAAATAAAAATGTCACAGGTCCCAGTAAATGACAGAGAGAGGTTGTTGTTGTCCAAAGATAAAGGCAAAAACATATGTATTCCATGAGAGGACTCCAATGGAAGTCGTGGCCTAATGGTTAGAGAGTCTGACTCGTAACCCAAAAAGGTTGCGGGTTCGAGTCTTGTACCGGCAGGGATTGTAGGTGGGGGGAGTGAATGTAAAGCGCTTTCTCCCACCTTCAATACCACGACTGGTGCCCTTGAGCAAGGCACCGAACCCCCAACTGCTCCCCGGGCGCAGCAGCATAAATGGCTGCCCACTGCTCCGGGTGTGTGTTCACGGTGTGTGTGTGTTCACTGCTGTGTGTGTGCACTTTGGATGGGTTAAATGCAGAGCACTAATTCCAAGTATGGGTCACCATACTTGGCCACATGTCTCATCACAATGAGAAGCATTACAACTACTTTGCCCTTTGGAGACATTTCTATCTAGAGGAGTAAAGATGGCATTGAGAAGTGTTTACAAACCACCTGACCTGACACAGGGCAGCACAACAAACACAAATTAAATTAACCCAAAAGTAGATAATTATTGGGGTAATGCATACATTTAGCAAACATTAAAAAAAGAAAGAGATAAATAACTAACAAAAAAATTCAAAGAATTGCATAATGAATACACAAAAACTCCTGGCGTTGAAGAGGCCTCACTGTCACGGAGTACTCCAAAACAAGAAGATCCAAGTGCAGCATTTATTAAAGAGTCCAAAAACAAACAGTGTAACAGTGTAATCCAAATGAGTGGACTCTGTAGGCTCTGGGACTGGAGCGAGCTCTGGAGTGGTCTCTGAGCTCCCGGAATGGACTGGGCTCTGAAGTGGACTCTGAGGACTCCTGGACCAGAGCGGGCTCGGAAGTGGACTCTGTAGGCGCCCGGGCTGGAGCGGGTTCATGAGTGGACTCTGAGGGCTCCCGGACTGGAGTGGGCAGTGGAGTGGACTCCAAATACTCCTGGACTGGAGCAGGCTCTGAGGCAGGCTCTTGGGCCAACAAAGCAGGAAGCTTAAGTGGGGCCAGCAGGACAAGGAACTTGGTTGGAGCTGGCAAGGCAAGGATCATGGGAGGAGCTGGCAGGGTAAGGATCATGAGAGGGACAAAGAGAGCGGGCTGCTCAGTAGCTTCTGAGACCACCAGAGGTGTGTCCTCCAGGACCACCAGACTTGAGACCACCAGAGTCGGGTCCTCTAGGATCACCGGAGCGGACCTTGCTGCCCTCCTCCTTCTCGACCTTTGTTTTGGCGTGGAAATCAATGGAGGGTCCTCAATTTTTACTGGATAAGGGAGGAGGGAATGGAATAGTCCCTGCAGGTGAACTCTGGTGGTGGTGTCTCACTTTCCCCTCTTGACGAAGCCTCAGATACTGGGAGAAGTTCCAGAAGTCCAACGACTTTACCTGATCCATCTCCCATTGTAATAAAGTTTCATCCAAAGAGAGGTTGAAAATGTCTTTAATGTCCTCACCCTGACAATTCAGTCTCTCCACCCTCATCCAAAATTTCTGGGCGAAGGCTCCCACCTCCATCCTTTGCTGACACAAAGCCATTAAAGCCTGAAGTCGAGCCATCTGTTCCTTCTTAATGGCAAGAAGAGAAATACGGATATCCATTGTCCAAGTGTTAAAAAACTGCTGGATCTTGAAATGGCTGCTTTATTCTGTCACGGAGTACTCCAAAACAAGAAGATCCAAGTACAGCATTTATTAAAGTCCAAAAACAAACAGCGTAATCCAAATCAGGGCAAAACAGTAACAGAAATACGTTACAGAAAACAATTAAGCAGCAACCAAAGACAAAGAAAACCGGGCTTATATGTGGAATAGTTAACAAAGTAATGGGACACAGCTGAATGTAATAAGGCTTGATAGTCAAGGCAAAGTGTGATGGGAACTGAAGTCTAGAGAAACAAACAAACTAAGAAGTGTGCCCCCTAGTGGCTATACATGAGCACACCATAAATATTTAAGAAATGTTCACCCATCTAATTGGTCATGTGTAACATAGTTAGAGAACTACTTTTGGGAAATGGTGTATGCTGTCTGAAAATGGGGCAACTTCCAAAATCTACAATTTCTCTCCTTCTACATAAAGTGGCTTTAAAAAACTAATATAATTTTGTGACAACAGTTAATGCAAACAGCCTCGCTGTGGTCTCTCCAGTGCACCTGTTGTCACTTTCATTTGCACCAAAGCATGTTAAACTATTTCACAATCACTTATGATTCCTAATTGATATCCCAGAAGTTTAATTGTCTTGGTGTTATACTGTGACGATTAAGTGTTCCCTTAATTTTTTTGAGCAGTGTATATATACACACCATAAAGAAAGAATTAATAGTCCACGTGGCTTTTCAAACGCTCTACACTACTCTGCAAAAGGTTATTCATTACCACATGCAGTGGTAATAGCTCGCTAAAACACTGGTTGTCAGTACTCATTTCAATATAGGTGAGAGTACATTCGTCTTTAGCCTTTTTCACAGAAATGTTTCACGTGATTGTTCTGTTCTGTTTGTGCTGGTGGCATCTGATTGGTAAGATAGAAATCTATCTATCTATCTATCTATCTATCTATCTATCTATCTATCTATCTATCTATCTATCTATCTATCTATCACAATCTGTTTGTTCATCAGGTGTGTTTAGTGAGTCAGCGTCAGTGATGGAGGGAGATTCTGTCACTCTAAACACTGAATCTCAGATACATGAAGATGAAGACATAGTGTGGCAATTTGGAGTTAAAAAGTCGCTCATAGCTAAGAATAAAAAAAAGCAAATCTTCTCCACATATGATGTTCCTGATGAGAGATTCAGAGACAGACTGAAGCTGGATAATCAGACTGGATCTCTGACCATCACAAACATCACAACTCAACATGCTGGACTCTATGAAGTAAAGATAAGTGGAGCAAAACTGACATCAAAAACATTCAGTGTTTCTGTCTATGGTGAGTAGAGATCATTTGTCCAAACGTTCACATATTCTTATTTTATTAAAGGAATATTCAGTTAGGGCTAGGCGATATATTGAGTTTATACAATATACCAATATATTTTTTATAAACGATATGGTATGAGGGAATACCGTTTACAGTATATCGATATACAGTAGTTTGATACGAGCACATCTGAAAAGTAGCGAAGGATACAGCGTGAGCTGCTGCGGGGAAAATGCATAATCCAATTTGTCCTAAACATGAGACAAGCTTTACATTTAAGGCTTTATAATAACTGGTAAGATATAGTTAACACATCTAGTTTAAAGTGGCTTGCTCTGTCAGATGCTCTGACAGATACATGTGCTGCTGACAGACAGGCTACTTGCACTGAATAATGCGTTTGAGATGTGTTTGCTAAAATAAATGTGCCATATATAGTGTTTTAACCCAACAAATAAGTGTATTTTTATAATAGCAGTAATTGTAAACTGATATTTTAATCAGGTGATCAAAATAAATGCAATCAATCTGTTGTTTTTATTTTCATTTTTAGTTTAGCGAATTTATCTTCTGTTTTAAAAAGCATTTTTAGATTGTAATGTTACAATGTAGTATGTAATGTGATTTCAACCCTTTTTTGCACATAATAGCATAGCCTATATGGTTACATTCACAATATTTGTTTTCATAGCCTTTAATATGAGCATTGTTTCATTGGACAGAATTGGGCTGGATGTAAAAAAATAAAAATAAATGTAGAAAATACAGAAATATATAACATACATCACAATTCAGCCAAAGAATATCAAAATATGATTTTTGGCCATATCGCCCAGCCCTATGTTCAGATCAATGGCATTTGTGTCATGATGGTAATCACAAACAAACAAACAAAAAAATTAATTAATTAATTAATTAATTAAGGTTTTAAGGAGCTACAGTCTCAAAGTTATAACTCATGTTAACACTCATATTGTTTATGTATTGTGTCATTACTGTAACAGTATTTTAACATCCATGGACTGACCCTATTGTCTTCCATTGTAAGGATCTCACTGTAACAGCTTTTTGTTTTTATTTTTTTTTAAATAGGGACGTGCTAATTATTTTTGCGGTGATCAACTTTATGCCACAAACGCTGTCAATTTAGCTTAACTGCTGCTGAAACCAGAATATTCCTTTAACTATATATTATATAACTTAATCATTTTATAGCTTGATATGACTCTCACTGATCGTCAACACACTAAACCGAAAAAAAAGATTGGTTGATCTGTTGATTCTCTCATGTTTTCAGCTCGCCTACCTGTTCCTGTCATCAGCAGTAACTCCTCACAATGTTCTTCATCATCATCATCATCATCACAGCAGAATTGTTCATTGGTGTGTTCAGTGGTGAATGTGGGTCATGTGACTCTCTCCTGGTACAAAGGAAACAGTTTATTGTCCAGCATCAGTGTGTCTGATCTCAGCATCAGTCTCTCTCTACCTCTGGAGGTGGAATATCAGGAGAAAAACACCTACAGCTGTGTGCTCAACAATTCATTCACTAACCAGACTCAACATCTGGACATCGGTCTACTCTGTCACACATGTTCAGGTATGGTGATATTAATACTGATTTACCTGTTATATAGTGTTTATGTTTCATATTTGTTGTAAATCAGATAAACAGATTCACTCACATTAACAACTAATTTTGTCCATTACAGAATTGTCCATTACAGATCAGGACCTACCTTTATTGTACATAGTGCTGATTTCTGCTGCTGCTGTTGGATCTCTGTTGATTGTAGCTGCAGTCGTGATCTTCTGCATTTGCAAGAAATATAGAAAAAACAGTCAGTACAGAAAGCAATTAGTGTCTAAATATTTATCTTTTCAAGGCACAGATTTTGGTATAATATTGAGAGCTTTGTTGTTTTAACACATCTATGATTCTTGTTAATGCAGCCGAGACCAGAAGTGATTCAGCATTGTGTAAACCAACAGCACAAAAAATGGTAAGATCTGTGTTGCAAGAAGTTGTTGCAGTCAAGTCAGGCTGATTGAAGCTAGCTCTTCAGTAGGGGGAAAAAAACATGCTTTTATGCTATTACATTAAGTGTATGTTTGAACATCAGTCTAAACACTAACATACAGTGTCTGTTTTGCAGACCTATAAATTAATTTAGCACAAATCTATTACCACACACTAATGTAATGATTAGTTCATCAAAAAAATAAAAAAATAAATCTTAGTTTACGCACAGTAAATCGCATGATTTCTTTTAGGCAGTATGGCAGCCTCAGTCACCATTCATCACTTTCATTATATATAGACATATTTCACACATATATATATATCTCAAGATATATCTTCTTTCTATACAATGAAAGTGTTTCCCGGAAGAAAGAGAGTAGCCTTTTATAGTCATGGGAAGTCCGGTTCTTTTCCGGAAACCTGTTCTTTCGGACAGTTCGTTTCAATGAACCGGTTCAAAAAAACGGTTCATCGGTTATTTTATGCCCTAAAGTCATGACGTCATTCGCGATGACGTAATGATATCAAGTCTATCGTCCCGGGCCGGGATGAAAATACACATTCAAATATATAAAGTCAGTAATCATAACTTCAGTCAGTTAAAACATCATAATCATGATCTGAAAAGTTTACAATTAAGTTTTGCAACTAGGCACCCAAATACAGTAACAGGCAGTGATGTGCATGTGAGGATTTAAGTCTTGAAGATATAAAGTAAATAAATTAGTTGTCATCAGCGCAGAAACCACCCAGCTAACAATTTTTGGTTCCCAGAACGTTCTGGGAACGTTAGTTTTTGGTTTCCAGAACGTTCCCTGTTGGTTAGCCAGGAAAGTTTTCTTAACGTAAATAGAATGTTCTCGGTAGGTTACGAGCACGTTCCCTTTAGGTTCCATTTACGTTCCAAGAACATTCCCAGAAAGTTCTCTGAAGGTTCCCAGAACGTTCTCCTAACCTCTTTACTCCGATACCGCTGCTGTACGTCAGTAATCATCCAGCACCCCCGCGTCTCGTCATGGAAGATGGACGGATATGGACCTCAATAATCAGTACTACAAACCATGTCTTGTTTTAAACTATTGTTTAATCATTAAAGATAATCAAAGCACATTTAACCATCATAAGGAGCATTAAATGAGATTGAATTATCCGTTAATATGTAAAATTTCTTTATTATAACCATGTACCATAATAACCCAGATAACGTTTCTTAAGCACCAAATAACAATGACTTCAACAAAATATTTGGTTTTAAAAATGTACATTTTATTTTTCCAGACATTAAAAATAAATAACATTTATTTGACTTTAAGTAGGTTCCCCTTCAGGAACTCGAGCTGTGTCGGAAACGCTTTGGGAACGCCCCCAGCGTGACCATGCTCTGAATCACATATGAAATCAGTCCAATAGATGGGCGAGACGTCATGGGCGGGTGACGTTGCAACCAGGAAGCTATAAAAGCAGGTGCGGTAATTTAATATTACGTGCGGTACAATAATTTTTGTCATTCAGCAAGCGCTCTGTGTGTGTGTCAGTCGCTATCTGTTTGCGAGTCTTATTTAGTGTTGTTTGTCCACTTATAAGCTCCATTATGCCAAGCTTCAGCAAAAAGAAGCATTTGGCGTCTCGTCATGGAAGATGGACGGATATGGACCTCAATAATCAGTACTACAAACCATGTCTTGTTTTAAACTATTGTTTAATCATTAAAGATAACCAGAGCATATTTAACTATCATTAGGAGCATTAAATGAAATTGAATTATCCTTTCTTTATTATAACTACCATGTACAATATAATAACCCAGATTGTACGCCCCTTAAGCACCAAATAACAATGACTTCAACAAAATATTTGGTTTTAAAAATGTACATTTTATTTTTCCAGACATTAAAAATAAATAACATTTATTTGACTTTAAGTAGGTTCCCCTTCAGGAACTCGAGCTGTGTCGGAAACGCTTTGGGAACGCCCCCAGCGTGACCATGCTCTGAATCACATATGAAATCAGTCCAATAGATGGGCGAGACGTCATGGGCGAGTGACGTTGCAACCAGGAAGCTATAAAAGCAGGTGCGGTAATTTAATATTACGTGCGGTACAATAATTTTTGTCATTCAGCAAGCGCTCTGTGTGTGTGTCAGTCGCTATCTGTTTGCGAGTCTTATTTAGTGTTGTTTGTCCACTTATAAGCTCCATTATGCCAAGCTTCAGCAAAAAGAAGCATTTGGGCGAGAGCAGACAGCATTTAGGCTGTGTGTTCCTCCCTGCCCGCGCTATATTTCGGGTGGGGACACACACAGTTTGTGTGTTGTCTGCTTGGAAGCGAAGCACGCAGAGTCAGCTCTCGAGGGAGCGTTTGTTACTGCCTTGCTTCGCTCTCGGAAGGCTCTCTTTGAGGAGGGAGACTTCACCGGCGTTTCTCGTGGCGCCGGCCCCGCTTTCGCCGAGGCGGAGTGGCGGCTGTGCTTGTGGGGTTCGCATATGGATCCGGTGGAGGGAATGTAGACGGGTGAGGCCCTATCTTCTTCCTCACCTCATTAGCTCCCCTACTAGGAGCCTGGGGAGATTATTGTATGCAAGAATTGGTTGCAAAGCCAGTTGCACAAGCATCAGTTACACAAGCATATTATGCCTAATATTATAATGAGCAGCTTTATTGTGGAGCGGAGCTCGCGCAGTCAGCTCTTGGGAAAAAGAGAGGGGGCTGATTATGCTTTACCCGCTGAACGCTCTGCTCCCGCCGGGCACGCTCCGAGTAGTGTGTCTGTGCTTGCAAGCTCGTGGTTCGGTCCCGCTATTGCTGAGGCACGGCGGCGATTCAGATCGCGGGGATCGCACGTGGATCTAGCGGATGGGTTGGAGACGGCTCTCCCTTTCTCCGCCTGCACTCCCTAGATCCAGCTCTCTCTCTCGATGCTGCGGTTTCTTCCACCTCTGAGTGAGAGCTCGCTGCTGCAGCTATTTTTCTCCAAGGAGATTGATATTGTTTGTGTGACCAAGCGGCTCGAGCGCTGCCGAGGCAATGCGTGTATTACATTGTTTTCAGTTTTTGATGTGAATATTACCACACCAGACCGTGTTTACTCATTTGCTTGTTTGGCTGCATTTAATTCTGAGAAATTAAATTAGGTATTTATCTGACTATGAGAAGTTAGATATATCATTTTCGATTTTTCTCTTCCTCTGAGGAGGTTGAGGTGGTCCACAGGTGCTGCTGGGCAGGAGCAGCCCCAACCAAACGTGTTCCAGCTCCTCATATAGGGAGCATCACTTCTCATACTCCTCAGGATTTAGAGTCAGAGTGGCGCTTCCGGGCCGAAGGCTTCTAGCGGAAGGCGGATCTGTGGACCGTCATTCTCGCTGGATAGTCTTCGACTAAAACATCCTGACACCTAGGGCCCAGGACTTCTAAGAGCCGGCCCCCTCTGGGGAAGAGC